CTCCTCCTGCTCCTCCTCTTCCTCCTCGTCCTCTTCCTCCTCTATGATTACGAAGCCTCGCAGCACGCACGCACAGATACAGCGGTCAAAAGAACCGAAGATTAAGAGTGTTGCAGTCGCAATGATTCCGCAGCTAAGGTCGCTGAGGGCTTTGCAGCTCCTGCGATGCACTGTTCACATAGTTTTCTGGTTTGTTTTGTGTTTATTGTTGGTGTCGAGGGCTTGTTGTTTTGTAGGCGCCTGATGGCTCACTGCAGTTGATATGGCGGGTTTGGGATCCTGCGTTCCATGTTGTTGTGGGCAGCAACGCCTCCTTTTGATCAAGGTCCTTGCTGTGACTGAAGGGTCCTAGTCTGTCATGGGGCTTTCGAGCCCCATGCAAGACCCGAAGCCTAAACCCTGACCTCGTCAACCCTGGACCTTCAACTAGGGCTCGGCCGTTCGGCCTTCCTCAAAAGGCGAAGTAGAACCCAAAGACACAACCATCCACGAGGTGGGGCATGATCCTGACCTACGCACTCTTCGCCTTGGCCCCGGCCTGCCTCAATGTTAGAAAGATCCAGCTCGGGGTCCGGGGCTACTGCTTTCGGGTTGAGGGCTTCGGGTTTAGTAGGCGGAGGGCTTCCGGTGTCTGTCCTTTGAAATGCTTCGAGGAGAATTATTTAAGGTTTGAGGCTTGGAGTTGCGGATTCCCTCGGTGCCAGCCTGCGCTTAGGATTCTGGATTGGAGGCCTCAGGCTTGGGATTTGGGGCAGGGCGCTCTGTACAGCTTCAGGTCACAGGTAGCAGTGAAGGCTGAATGCTAGATCACAAACCCAAAAGCAATAAAGCACCCCCAGGCCCTAGACTCTCATCAACTGCATCCTTCAGTCATCAAAGCCCTCATAAACCCCTTAAACCTGAAAACACCCTTAGAAAACTGTTGGAGCCCTACTTACTTGGTCGCCGAGGTTGGCAGCTATGTCGTCGACTTCTGGGTACTCAGCCAGGCTGGCGTGCGCCTCGTCTCGGTGCTCTGTTCTCTTCCCGGAAAAACCGCAATCCGACAAAGGGTCAATGTGGGAAATGGATGGGGTTGGCCTGGGTTCGAAAGGCTACAGGGCTTCTGTAAGGTTTTGTCTAAATGAAGTTTTCTTCAAGGTCCTGTTGTTGAGCCGGAAACAGAACTAAGGGTAAGCCGGTACCACTCCGCCAGAATGGTCTCGGTCTTCACGAGAAAGTCTATTCCGACCCCGAAGGGCACGCCGAAGGGGCCCTCAATCCGAAAATTCCGGAAGATCTTCTTTCCTTGAGTGCAGGGTTTAGGGCTTTCGGGTTCTAGGGTTTAGGATTTCAGGGTTTACGGTTTAGGTGGTTTAGGGTTTGGGTTTCTTGGCGCTCTTGTCATGTTTGAAAACAGTGGTATCATCCTTTGTGAACCCGGTGGTTGTCAAGGGCAAGTGTCGAGCAATATGAGTCTCGGACTCCATCAGTAACATTATTCCCAGGCATCCGTTGTATGCTTGGACTAACGGATGCTTCAGAATCCATTCTAACATTTAAGGCCCGAAAAAATACTTGCGGTTTGTGTCTGTGGCATTCTGCCTTATTGTCAGTTCTTTCCTGACCCTAAACCCCCTAAACCCTAAACTCTAAAGCCTAAACCCTAAACTCTAAACCCCAAACCCTAAACTCTAGACCTTAAACCCTGACCCTAAACCCTCAACCCGCGGCCCTAAACCCTAAGCTTTTCTCACCCCGGTGCCTCCCAACGCGGTGGACCGGACATTGCCATGACCTTCGAGCCTCCTCGACCTCAGTACAGGGGTTGAGGGTTTAGGTTTAGGGTTTAGGGTTTAGGGGCTTAGGGTTTAGGGTTTTGGGTTCAGGGTTTGGGGAAGTGGTAGTCCTTGATGTTTGTATATTACAGTATACCACCGCCTTCCGAACAAAAAGCCTATTCTATTTACTAAGGGTTACTAAGGCCTCGGCATTACCCGATGCCCCCAAATCTCCGACCCGGAGTACCAAAGCTGCACCCGAAACGATGGAGCTTACCTCTCTTCCAGCCTTTCGCCCTATCTCCTACACGGGAAAGCGCCAGAAATCTACGGGGGGATCCTTCCCTGAAGCCCCCCTAAACCGTAAACCCTGGAGCTGAGTCTCCAAACCCTAAACCCTAAACCCTAAACCCTAAAACCCTAAACCCTAAACCCTAAAACCCTAAACCCTAAACCCTAAACCCGAAAACCCTCAACCCCGAACCCTAGGCCCTGAAGCTACCAACCCAGGCCTGGGGAGGAGGAGCTAGTCTGAGCAGAGCTCCCCTGAGGCTTCCAGGTGAACCTGGGAGATTAGGGTAATACAGGGACTTTGGGGTTTAGCGTTTCGGGGTTTAGGGGTTCAGGGTTTAGGGTTTAGCTTTGCTTTGAGGGTTTTCTTGAGTTGGTTTACGAGGTCGTTTTTGGTGTCGAATGTTATTTTGTGTCGAGAACAGGGACTTCAAGGTTTTTGTTGTAGGGTTGCGTAGAGGTGCTTATCAGGGGATTATGAGTTTTTTGTTCCACCGGAAGGGGTCAATGAGTCTATGGGCTTGAAAGTTGGGGGTTGACACTCAGGGCGCATCTTTAAATCGAGCGCTCTTGGACTGTTTTTACGTATAATCTGGACGCTTGCATAAATAGGAGTGTGCCACAGCCGCCATGGGTTTTCGGGGGCAGCTTGATGACTATAAGGCACAATTTGCTTCAGCTGGATTGTGATAACTGCCTCCTGAACTTGCATCGACGTTGACATGGCCACGACCTGGACGATAGGGGTGTGGTTGTAGTATAGTTTGCCCCAAACACTGTTCTACATGCTAAGGCCTCGCCAAGAGGAGATCTGCCCGGTGTCGGCTTCGTAGTCGTAGTAGTCGTCGTAGTAGTAGCAGCAGTAGTAGTAGTAGTAGTAGTAGTAGTAGTAGTCGTAGTAGTAGTAGTAGTAGTAGTAGTAGTAGTAGTAGTAAGAGAAATGGAAGCAATAGCGACATTAGTTATGGTAGTGATAACAATACTAGTAATAGCAGTTAACAAGAAGACGAAAGTCATTAATAATGTTACCAAATACTGATACTAATACAAATACTCATAATGCTAGTACTAATACTAGTATTGAGCTCATACTAATACTAGTACTAGTACTAATACGACTACTAACACGACCACTAACAATAAATACTAATGCTAGTACGAATACAAATGCGAATACGGTTACTAATACTAAAATTATAGCATGAGTACTGATACAAATACTATTGCAAATACTAACACGAGCACTAATGCGAATACGAATACTCATACAAGTATTAATAGCAAATACTAGTTCTGATACCATTGCGAATACTAATACGAACACTAATCTCAATATTAATACTGGTTTTACTACTATACTACTACTACTAC